TTGTCCTTGTCATTGTCTTTGTCATCACCTATTTTCATGATTGTGTCATTTCTTTTTCTTTTTCATGATTGATTGTTAGTTATTCTGGGAATGAGGAAGAAAGCTACGTGCTTGTGTGATCTATTTATGCTACAGGGTGAGCATGGGAACAGGTAGTCTCGTCAGTCTTCTCGTTAGTGGAGACAAAGCTTATTATGAACGCGAGTTGCTTAACGCAGTGTTTTGCCAGCGATGCTTGATTCCATTTTATAAATGCAGGTTGATTATTGAAGCAAGCTTGTGCTTCTCAACGGCGACCATTAATATCATGAATCAGAAAAAGAGACCATGAATATCAGCACCAGTCAAGTTGAGATGGATAAGTTACAAAGTTGATTAGATAGCAAAATCGAGCATGGGTTGAGAATCGAATCGGCTTGTTCCCTCGGCTTGTTCCGAGAGAGATCAGCCCTGTTGCTTCCATCCTCGCCAAGTTCGGCTCGGAACTCTTCCCTAGTCTCTTCCGTGACTCGGTGGAACACGATGGCGCACCGCCGGTAGCTTAATCCAAGCCATCTACTATTACTAACCATTCGAGAAACCCATGCGAGAAACCCAATCACGTTCGGCGAAGGAACAAATGCCTACTAATCTGCCACCCTCTGCAGCCACGGGATGATTAATTCTTGAAAAGTTATCAGGATTAGAAAGCAACAGACTATCACTATTCGCAAAAGGCCGTCAGGATGTCGGCTGCTATCTTACTCCATAAAAATGGCCCAGATGAGCGCTTGTAAGCGCCACCCAATCACTGGACCGAGCCTGGGGCGACGTATTCCATTTCAGGAATTTGCAGACAAGCGAGCCGGCCAACCAGGAAACACCAAAAACGCCCGCTAGCTGCAGTCGTGATAGAAAGCAACTAAAATATAAGATGAGAAAGGATGCGGAAATAGGTATCCCAGTAGGAGAATATGTGAGAAAATAATGATTTGTCAACGAAGAGCTAGAATGCGGACAGGAGAGCATGAAGACGCAAATCAGCGAGAGACCGGTGGAGAAAGAGCAGAAGAGGTCCGAAGCTCTGTTCGTTATAAGTCCTCAGCGAGGGGTATAAAGACGCTGATGTGTCCCTTCTTCCCCGCGATTATTTAGCAATAGCTTCTCAATTCAATTCTTTGGTCAGTGTGACAGCACATTCGCTCTTCTGGCTAACTTAGTCTCAACCTCTGCCGTGATTCAAGAAGAGTCAAGACTTGGACTCCAACATGCCTTACCCATATCCGGATACCATCACAGGCCCCGAGTTGGTCGCTGAGTACGCCTCCATCATCAAAGGCAAGACCATCCTTACCACTGGCGTTACTCCCAACACTCTAGGCGCAACATATGTAGAGTCGATCGCGGCAGGCCAGCCAAAGCTGATCATCCTCGCTGGAAGAAGCCTGGAGAAGGTTAAGCAAACGGCCGAACTAATAGCCAAAGCGCAGCCAGAGGTCAAGACCAAAGTGCTGGAGCTTGATTTGACTTCATTTGATTCGGTGCGGAAAGCGGCTAAGGAGGTCAACTCTTGGGACGACGTCCCCGTGATCGATGTGTTGGTGAACAACGCGGGCATCATGGCGGTGCCCTACGAGATATGCGTTGACGGATTTGAAAAGCAATTCACAGCCAATCATCTCGGCCATTTTCTCTTGACCAACCTGCTACTGGATAAGGTCCTTGCAGCCAAGGACGGTCGAGTGGTGAACATCAGCAGCGGTGCGCATTATATTAGCGGCATTCGTCATGCGGACATCAACTTTGATGTAAGTCGAGAGCGAAATTCTGAAGGAGTCGGCTCTACCTATACGCATTTAGATTTATTTCGCCACCATAAGTTCATTTGAAAGAGATACAGGGCAATGCGCTGACCAATTACACAGGAAGGAAAGACGTACGAAAAATGGACGGCCTACGCCCAATCCAAGACGGCCAACATTCTCTTTTCTAGAGAGCTTGCCAAGAGGCTGGGAGATCGTGGGCTTCTGTCATTCAGTGCGAACCCAGGAGCGATTGGGACGACCAGTCTTGCCGCTCATCTCGACTTTTCACCTGGAAAAGATGGAGAGGAAACCTGTACGGTGAACTGTTGGCTATCCGTCATGAGCTATATCAAATTGCTAACGCTTTTTCTCTGCAGGGAGAATTTCTCGAATGGGTGGAGCGCCATATGGCTGGCAAATACCGGAGCTGATATCGGCAGAGCGAGGTGTTTCTTCTCACGTTTTTGCATCTTTTGATCCAGTTCTCAAGGGTAGGTCGTCTCTCAGCAGTCTCCTTTTTCTTTCGTCCAGATCCTCTATCCCTCTTCTTCTTGGCCTACCTCGCAAACTTTACCTTCCGCTGCCAGCAGCAATACTAGTAGTAACTAACAACTCGCAACACCTAGCCCACAACGGCGCGTATATCGAGCAAAGGGCTCGGATAGCAGATTACTATGTCGATTGCGTTAGCCCCGCGGCCATTAGCGATATTGAGTCGGAAAAACTGTGGACACTGAGCGCAAAGGCTGTTGGCCTGTAGGAGAAATGAGTAAAGGATTAGGTTTTGGTTGGGTAACTGAAAATAGAACAAAATAGAAACGAGAGTAGAAGAATCGATAGCTTGAGGATTTGATTTGCCTGTTGGGTAGATACCTGGTAATAAGCCGCCACCAGGCTACTCCATGCATAAACACTTGACAATATTCCCTATCCTGTTCCTGCTAACAGCCAGATATGTGGCCCACGATTAATCCATGGATCTAGTAGCATCAAACTAATGCACAAGGCAGAAAACGGCGGGCCGTTCTCCATGCTCCATACGATTCCCCGTAGCTTGGACCTCGCTAATGCTCCAGCTTGACGGTGGCGAGTGCCGAGCGGATCCAAGGATTTTTCAGTCGAGCTCCGTGGAGATGCTATTCGTTGGAAATATGCTCCTATCTTGCAATGTGTGCGAAGGAGCTGCAGGAAGCATAAGTTAGTAGATGCACAAATGGCGAATTGGAGCTTGGACAAGCACGGAGTAGGCACATGGTATGGAGTAAGGGGCAATGGGAAGTCACGACGATATTGGATTTGGGCACCGACAGACGGCGTGTCCTGCCACCTGACACACTCCATGGGCAGCTGCTCTTCCCCACGTTCTTGGTCGCACCTGTCATATGGATATCGCGAGATATCGCGATCATCTCGCGTGGATGGTGCCCAGTTGCCATCTTTACCGAGTAGCTCTACTCGCAGTTTCCCCATTCGAACTCACAACCGTTCAGCTGCTGCCATGTTGCAGCCCTTTTGATCTCGCCGTGACTTCCATGCATTCTCTATTTCTATTTCCAGATGCCTTATGCTAGCAGTATGCACTCACTTACCTCGGAGTGTTGTTTCTTTGCCCAACCTCTAAATCAAATTATAGATGGCTTGGAGTTGAACGGACTAAGCCTTTACGAGAGACGGAGTAATACCTGCAATAATACATGGCTAGGGGGGGCCGCTTTCGAGCTGCGGACGCAAAGCTAAGTTGGCGCCATGGCTTTTATTTTATTCATTTTACCTTTTTTTTTTCTTTCTGTTTTTGTATTGGTCTTTTGCAGTATATGGTATTAAGCAACTGAAGATCTGCTGGGTCGAAATGCTCCATGTTCGAAGCGCGAAATGGCTATTCGTCTTGGCACTTTGCATTTCTGGCAAGAACCGCCTCCCGGTCGTAAATGCTACCCAAGGAATTAAACCGATTGATTAATCATCGGCCCTGTTTGCCGATGCTACGAGACAACCGGGCCCGGTCCCTGTGGCTGTTGCGTTTTGCGTCTTGACATCTCGAGATTCCCCATCTCAATCACACCAGGCGTGGCATGTCATGGTCAGCCTATTATAGGTGGCCATGCATTGGAACATTGGCACAACCAACCGCCTGATGCTGCAGGACTTTTGGGCATCAAGAATTCGCCTCTTTCTATATTGCTTCTCCTCTTGATACTTTCTGCACTTCTCTGCATGAGTCAGTCCAGGCCTCTGTTTCTTTCTGTCTTTCCGCCATCTTGTTGACAGGGTATCATGGCCATCTGACATGCACATCGCACTGTAAGCAGCAGCATCTACACCACCACGGCCCTGGCCTCTGCAATCAATATTGACGAGCCCGCAACCACCAAAACCTTCGCATCACCACCATCTCTGCCGTTTGCTTCCAATCCGCAGCGCCAATGGCAGGATTTCTCCGTGCGTCGCGTGGCCTGGGTCCAATGGCCAGGCTGCAGGCGCCCTGATACCCCAGAGCGGATGATCCGCACCACTTAGGCTAATGTCTATTCATTGGATCCATGCCGCCGCACAACCGTCGCCTGGGCCCGGGGTCACGTATTGTGCCTATTCCCAAAGCACGCACCGTCCCATCCGGAGCGGGACCCTCCGCACCCTCTTCAGGCCTGGAGTCGTTCCCCGCATCGTTGCGAGGGCCGAATGTCGACGCCACGGCTCGACGCCGCTGTCCAATAGCCTCATCTCACCGCAGTCGTATGAGCGGCCAAAAAGGGGACAATGGCCGTATGAGCGGCACGGCATGCCCAAGTGCTTGGTGCTTTGCTTTGCTTTAGATAATCCGCCGGCGAAATTCAATCCTACTCTGGACGTGCCAGGCTGATGCTGCCAGGACCTCATTCGCAGCTGCAGCTCTTTCTCGTTCGGCCCTACTGACCGGGGGGGGGCCATTTGCCTGATCCTAACAAAGGCAACCCAAGCTCGTGGAAGAGGGTGAGAAAGGTTGGGGAAGCGGCACAGCGCGGTGGCAAGGGACGAGAGAGAAACATAAAATCGACAGCGCCCCCCTGACAATCGATTGCTGCCTCTCGTCTTTTTCCTTCTTCTTTCCCCTCATCCCTCTCATCTCTGTTCGATAGTCCCTCGTGCAACGGGGTCTTGTCGAGAGATTCAGGAAAACATCACCATTTCTCGCTGAAAGAAGCTGGTCTGGCCACAGGGCTGCAGACAACCGTCACCATGGGCGAAAAGAACGAGACTCAGGTCCATGATGAAGTGGAAGATCATGTATGGCATACCACCCGATGCAAATCCCCAATCTTTCTATCGAAGCTGGAAACCGAACAAAAAAAATGGTAGAATTATTGCTAACGCGGTTCTTGCTGACCATCATATAGGGCGAACTTCGAACTGCCATTGTCCATGGCAACGAGGCCTTTGCCGAGGCCATGATCAAGGAGCCACCCAATGCTTACACCAAGGCTCAGTTTTTCATCTACTTCTTCTCCCTTATTGCCTTCTTCTGCAGTACCATGAACGGTTACGATGGTTCCCTCATCAACAACCTCCTACAGAACCCCTGGTTCAAGGCAAAGTACCATGTCGAAAACGACGGTATCTGGGCTGGTATCGTCTCCTCCATGTACCAGATTGGTGGTGTCGCCGCGCTTCCCTTTGTCGGCCCTACCATTGATGGCTTTGGTCGTCGAATTGGCATGCTATCTGGTGCCACTCTCATCATTGTCGGTACCATTATCCAGGGTGTTGGCAACCAGCAGGGCCAGTTCATGGGCGGACGATTCCTGCTTGGATTCGGTGTCTCTCTCGCTGCTGCTGCTGGCCCCATGTACGTGGTTGAGATTAACCACCCTGCGTACCGTGGTCGTGTTGGCGGTAAGTCTTATTGCTCGCCCTCCCCACATTCATTGTTCACTCGATTTTCTTTCTACCTCTTCGCCATTCGCATTTGGCGGATATCATGGTACTAATCATCGTCTCTTCTCTCTCTCTAGCCATGTACAACACCCTCTGGTTCTCCGGTGCCATTCTTGCTGCCGGTGCTGCTCGAGGCGGACTCAACACTGGAGGTGACTTCTCCTGGCGACTCATCATCTGGCTTCAGGCCCTCTTCTCTGGTCTCATCATCATCTTCTGCATGTTCCTGCCCGAATCTCCTCGATGGCTCTACGTTCACAACAAGAAGGAACAGGCCAAGGCCATCCTCACAAAATACCACGGCAACGGCAATCCCGACTCTGCCTGGGTCACCCTTCAGCTCTTTGAGTACGAGCAGCTCCTCAACATGGACGGTGCTGACAAGCGCTGGTGGGATTACCGGGCTCTTTTCCGCAGCCGCGCCGCCAACTACCGTCTCGGCTGCAACCTTGTTGTCACCATCTTCGGTCAGTGGGCTGGCAACGCCGTCTTATCCTACTTCCTTGGCTCTGTCCTCGATGCTGCCGGCTACACAAGCACCATTGCCCAAGCCAACATCACCCTCATCAACAACTGCCAGCAGTTTGCATGGGCCATCCTGGGTGCTTTCCTGGTAGACAAGGTCGGCCGTCGACCTCTGTTGATCTTCTCCTTCACTGCCTGTACGATCGTCTGGCTGGGTATGACCATTGCTTCAGCCAGGCTCGCGGCATCTCAGGAAGGCGTCGACTCTAGCGGCAATCCCATCTTCACCAACCCTGCTGCATCCAAGGCTTCTTTGGCTATGATCTTCATCTTTGGCGCCGTCTACTCCGTTGGAATCACTCCCCTGCAGGCTTTGTTCCCCGTCGAGGTGCTCTCCTTTGAGCAGCGCGCCAAGGGCATGGCTTTTTCCAGCTTTGCCACCAACGCTGCTGGTCTCCTGAACCAGTTCGCTTGGCCAGTCTCCATGAAGAATATTGGCTGGAAGACGTACATTGTCTTTACCATTCAAGATGCCGTTCAAGCCGTCGTCATCTACTTTTTGATCCCCGAGACCAAGGGACGCACTGTAAGTACCAATCACTCCGTCTCCAACGATGGCATCTTTCTAACATTTTCTCTCCATAGTTGGAAGAGCTCGACGAAATCTTTGAGGCCCCCAACCCCGTCAAAGCATCGACGACGAAGAAGGCCGTTGCTGTTGACGACCACGGTGGCATCGTTAATATCGAGAAGGTCTAAAGCGTGGCGATACGGAATTCACACGTACTACGGAGGATTTTTACTTTTTGACTTATTTGACGACCTATAAAAGACAAAAATACTTTATATGCAGCTGTTCGCAGGGTTGCGGGACTGGATGTGTTAATGATTGCTTGCGTTTGTACGAGACGTTCTTCTCTTTCTTTTCTCCTAGAAGGAGAGAAATGTCTCTATTGCGATCTTATTAGTCTTTGTTTAACGTACCTAATTATGATATTGAGGGGAAGAACCCAACTCTGCAGCATTCAGAATCTCAACTGCTACCCAAGCTCCCGAAACGTGTTCACGTACTTGCCTATCTCGGTGTGAATCTCAGTCGGTCCATCTCGCCTTTATCCCGACTACTACCTACCTACCTGGTATGAGTATATCCTGATGTGTATGCCTCGTGCATCAATCAGATGCTAGTATCCCGCGTGGATGAATGCAGTTCATATGGACATGGTTGCCCATCTTGGCATGTATAAACAGCCTCTGGCAGCTGTTGGCCCCCACAAGCCGAACATCCCAGCGGCAATATACGGAGTATTAGGAGACTTCTAGGCTCAAGCCATCATGTGGGCTCAGGTCCAAAGTCAGCAGCGTTGACACTAGCAAGCTTCCCTTGGCCCTTGACTTCTTCAGATATTTGGAGTTAATGTTCATATACTCTACATTATTAGCGTAAAATTAGATTGTCTTGTGCAAGTGCATGTATTTACATA